ACAAACATTTTTAATGCGACTTTTATTATAATGATTATTTCTTTTTTTTCAAAACACTCATGTTATGACATTATTTAATCAATTACATATTTCAAATATTTTAAACTTTATTTTGTTAGAAAACACATTCTATTCAAAAAAAAAAAAAACACAAATTATGTGCCATACTGTGCAGTACCTCAGTTTGATTACTTGTAATTCGAAAAAAATATATACGTATAATTAAAAACCGAAAAATTAGTGTTATGTGAAATTATAAGCGCTATAGAATCAACGAAGTTAAAAATTTAATGGTGTGAAGCGATCTGTAGAATCTGAGTAGGTACTACGGCTTTCAGCAAGAGCCAAAAAGTATTCTATATCTGTTCAGCATATTCTATGATACAAACTCACATCGTTTTACATAATGAGGCATTTAGTCGGTTCGAATAGATCTCCATTAAAAAAATGTATAATTGGAAAATATCCAACAAAAAAAAAACGCGAAGGCAAAATTGGCAATTTTAGGTACAGCATAAAACAGAAAAGAATATACAAGTAAAAAAATAACAAATTGACCTTAAGAAAACGCAAGAAAATTAGTCATTGCTTTCTTCTCTAATATTTGGCGTTCCAATAAGTTATTTTAAACTTAAAAATTATAAACATAAATTTCATTATTTTCATAAATTGCAGGCATACGACTTTGATCAGCGGAGTTTCTTGCAGGCAAATTGCTGTTAGTAAAATTTTTTCCTGATAATTTTTAATATTTATCGAATTATCGAACATGCTAATTGTCGTTAGGCAAAAATAACAACAAATGAAAATTGTGTACACTTGTGCATGGCATCTATCTTCTGCAACTAACTTCTTATGAAAGTGTATACAATTTTCGATCGTTATTTTTCAAATTTCATTCATACATACAAACATATCAAATTTTTTTTAAGTGAATTCAAATCAAAGTATCACTTTAGAATACAATACAGATCGCTCGCCCACCAAGATCAAAGAAAAAATCACCTGTTCTTTTTGAGCATTATTATTACCTACTTCTCCACTCGCCATGGGGAATGAATTTTTCTAGCTGGCAGAGATGAGGGCATATGAAATTGGAATAAAAAACCCCCAAAAAAAAATCGACATTTTGATGTTATGTTGTTCAGACGCTTTCTAAAACAAAAAAAAAAAAACAAATAAAAATATCGATCTATACATTTCTAAAGTAACTATTTACTACTTATGATCCCAATAAAGAATCAACTATAACGATTCTTGACTAAAAGCTCACACTTTTCTATCTCATGAGAGCATAATAACTAATTTTCCAAGCCAAAAAAAAATACTTAAACGCGCTAACAAATAAAGGCAATATAAAAATCTCTATAAATTTGCTTATGAGCAAAGTGCCCTATCTTCTTTCTCTTCATGTGGATTATTTATTTACTAAAAAAAAAAACNAAACATTGGAAAAAACTTCCTTCGTATAGCTGGAATTGCTGCTGCCAACTACCGTGCGGTCTTGTTCAAGCTACAAAAAGCGCATTCTAAGTGTTATTATTTATAAAAAAAAAAAATATTTATTTGCATAATCTAACACATTGTTCGAGTCGCTAAACGTATGTATGCATAATTGTTTTGTCTATAATTAATTATATTTTCTTAAAAAAATAAAATAAAAGAAAAAATAAACTAACCCAACGTATATGGTATATGGTATAACCTTTTTAGTTTTTAGCAAAGTGCTTTGATTTTTATTAAAAAAAAAAACATTGAAATAATATTAATGATTTCGTTTATTTATTTATTTTTTAATTTTTCCCCACTGCCCTTAAATTCATTGGTTATTGAATTCTGCCTTATATGATATTATGAAACTCACGCCGATCTACAGATCAACGATCTCAATGCCCAAGTTAACGATCTGCGTGGCAAATTGTAAGTATACTTCAAAAAATTAAATATTAAAACAAAAATCAATTATCTATACTTAGTAAGTCCTAAGAACAAAGTTTTTATTTAAGCATTTATATAACTATATAATACTCTTAACTCAACTTTGTCCTTAGTTGACTTTTTTGGCATATATGTATATGTTTGGCATATATGTATATGTAGTATGCAATAATTTGATTTTTACTAATTTTTCTTTATTTTTTCCTTCATACATACTTTAGCGTGAAACCAGCTTTGAAGAAGGTGTCCAAATACGAAAACAAATTCGCCAAGCTCCAGAAGAAGGCCGCTGAATTTAACTTCCGTAACCAACTTAAGGTTGTTAAGAAGAAGGAATTCACATTGGAAGAGGAAGAGAAGGAGGTGAGTTATAAAAAATTTTATGATTTTTCTTTATATTGAGGTTATAAAATTTAATTAGTTTAATTAATTATTAGTTATGATAGTTCCTACATACATAATTATGATACAAAATTCGAGATATTGCTGAAGTGCATAAGTAAACGCACTAGTAGCTGCAAGATTCATATGAAGGGGATAATAGGATCTATCCATTTATAGGCTCATATAACGAGAGTACGATAAAATCTAACGAAATGGCAATGACAGTGACTCAACAAATGAGCACGTGTTGATTTTTTTAATGTTCGTAATTTTCATCAAACTTTCAACTTTTTAATCTGAATCTTTAGAAAATTTTTGGGTATACAGTTTTATAGCCCATACAGTTTTAGTCAGATAAAGTGCAAGTCTCAAACAGCTAAAAAAAATCCCGCTGATTTTTGAGATTTCTGTTTTTTTGTGACGGATTTTTGCACTTTTTTCATATATGCATGAATTTCTTATGAAATAAAATGCGGGAGACCGTTAGCAACAAAAATTCAAAAAATCAAGGCCAGTTTTTGTAAATTGCACTTGTTATATAAAAAAAAAATCTCAAAAATCAACGCGACCCGAAAATGTTCTGAAGATTCAGATTAGAAAGTTGAAATTTTCATGAAAATTTCTTGAATTTTAGTAAAATTTGTATTAAGATTGTTTTTAGTTAAAGCTTGAACGGCATTTTTATATAAAAATAACAAAAAAATCAGCTCGAAAAAAATTTTATAAAAAAATTAATACGTCATTTGTTTGAATCAATGTATTTCGAATTTTAAAATACTTATAGCCCAATTTCTGTATCTGTTTTTTTTTACTGACAAATTTAAACTTTTTCATATATTTTTTCGTAAAAAGACTGTGACAAGAATTTATCACTGATATAGAACAGAGCCATTCTTCTCTAATAATTTTTCTCCTGCAATCTGTGATATATATACGTCTTGATGGTGTGACACAATTGGAGATATCTACAGTTTTACGCCGACTCCGAATGGCAATTGGTTTTTTATGAGAAACTTTTTCATGGCAGAAGTACACTCGGACGTTTGCCATTGCCTGGCCAGGAGTCGTACCTTTTTTCTACCGAATGAAAGTTCGCACCTCTAGCCACTAGGCTAGGACGCACAGTGGAAGATCCCCATGAAAAATATGGCAAAAAAAATATGGAAGAAATCTGAAAAATGGCATTGATTAGAAAATTGCATCAGATTTTAGTGAAATTAGGTTTTTATCTTAGTTTCAATTATAAAAAAGGCCATACAAAAACCAAATTTCATAAAAAATCGCATAATATAGTGGGCGTGGAATCATTTTTAACCGACTACACAAAACGGAGAGGTTATCAATTCATCAGAATATTTTTTTATGTACATATGTTACCGCATAACTTTGAACCTCGTCAACAGGTTTCGATAATTCTTTTTATCGGCTAGTGTGGTCTCATACTAATTTGGTTTAGATCTGATCAGTGATCACTGAATGATGAAGAAATTAACGGTACTCCTAAATTTTTATATGAGAATTGAAGTCGGCTATGTGCTCAAAGTTTACTTGTTATATTCTTTATTCTTAGACAAAAATATTGCTATTACTACTTTTTGCCTCAGCTAATATAGGGACTGGCCACTGTGTAGCATTCAGTCTATGGAAGATTAACGAGAGGAACGTAGACTTGTTTCGCTACTAGATAAGAGTTCACAGAGTATTTTTTTATCAATCACCTTTACCCGCACGAGGCCGCAAGTTATTTGTACTCTTCATAAAGTAATTGAAATTCGGAAATTTCAAACTTTTTATTTAAAATATCGTTGATTTTTGGCAATTTTTTTTACAATGCTCTCGCTTCCATATAAACAAATGTTCGAAGATACTTTGTATGGAAAATTATCGAAAATCAACGGTATTTTGTAGCCACTTGAAACTTGCACTTTATTATACTAAACTTAAGAGGGCTATAAATCTGCATACCAAATTTTCTAAAAATTCTGAAGAAAAAGTTTGAGATTTCGATGAAATTTTGTTGAATTTTTATTATTTTTGTACAAAGTTTGAAATGGTATTTGTTGTATAACTAGCTACACTTTTATAAACAAAATATTGAGCATTATATAAACCGAAGAATTATAGCAAAAATAATGCGAGTCTATTATTTATGCCACCAGTGTATATAAAGTAACACTCCATACTTAAATTAATAAAATGTTGTTTAATCTCTAAAAAGATAAGGATTTTTTTGAAAGTTTTGAGAAATTTCACTATTATGATTTACTCAGAAAATTATTTAAAAAATTCAGTGCAATGTAGAACAACAATTAGGGTTCGAAATGAAAGGAAAAATTCTATAGATTAAAAAAAAAATTTTTTGGTTCACAAGGACTAATAAATATTGAAAATGCCATTTTAATCAATACTTTATGCTAAACTAATAAATTTGGAAAGACGAAATTCGTCTTTAACATATCGTTGATCAAATTTTACAGGAGAGCGAAAAACCGGTGAAGGCATTGCCTTGATAGGCGGTATTTTCTCTAGCTATTATTTTACAAATTTGTTGTTTTAAAAGCGTTTTTGCGATTTTTATGCATAAATCTCGATGCCTGGAGTTCAGGGTTACCAAATCTAATTTTTGCCACGACTGCGATTTAGACGCTTTTGCAAAAACATCGACGATATATTTTTTAGAAATAACTATTGGAAGATATTCAAAGAAAAAGTTTTAAAATTTCAGAGAAAAAAACTAAAAACTCAGCTTTACTATATTTGGCCACTATTTTCGCGAGTGTATTGATTTTTGTTTATGTACAAAATTATTCCCGTGAAGGCTTTAAACCAAAACCTCTATTTATCAGATGTTTTTATGAAAGTGAACTACGCAAACCAACAACTTACTCAACTTTCCTCTTGATATTCATTATATTTAGCTTTAAAATTAGTTGAAAATTTTTTCAAATGAGTTTTTTAGTATCACAAACGCTTTTTGAAAAAAATTTGTTCTCCTTAACGTGTGAAATTCTATGAATTAATTTTTAGTGAAGTTAGTTTTTACGTAGTTGTTGTTGAAGCAGTATATTAAAAGCTAGTTTTAAGTCAAAAAATCTTTATCATTTATCTATGCAATAAACTGTATATAAAACACTATAAATTACTTAGTATTATAAAAAAAACTAATGCTTTCTTTTCTAACGCCTAAAATCACATCTCTACGACGATGCTATATACATATATAGAAAAAGATAAAAGATGCTCAATTAAAATCAACAGTCAAAAAGTGTAAGAAATTTGTGTAAATTGTCCAAAAAAAAAAACAAAAAAGCATACACACACACTCGTGTAGAATGTTGACTGCTAATTATTTGTGTGTTATTGGAAGAATATTGGGATTCAAATGTAATGTGAAATTTTATGTTGCAAAAAAATGCACTTTCATTGACACATTTGAGCACTTAAACATGAAAGAAATGGAATACTCAGCCGGGCTCCTATTTTTACTATGTTTTGCATTTTATAATTTAAAACAAAAAAAAAAATATTTTTAAGATTTCGAAAATGGGAGCACGCCTGATAATCATTATATCATATTTGTATGCATTCGTCAATATTTATAAGATTTCCACGTGTACGGCATGCAATACTAAATCTGTGTAACCGCAAATTCGCCCAAAAGTAGGCTTAGTTACCATTAAGTGTTTAATACAGCCCTTAGAAGCGTAGAACATCCACGTAAACACAAATAAGAATGTAAAAACCTACAAACTGTTTGTTTAAACTGGCAGCCGGATTCTAGTGACTTCGACGCAATGTTCGATTATTGGAAATATGTAGTTAATTTAGCGAAAATTTTCCCTATACAATCCAAATTTTTTTTACTGGAAATGTAAATCTCAGTGTGGGTGTTCACACCTGCCAGGTTATCAGGTTATTTGGTTTTGTGGTTATATTTTTTAATAACTTTACCCCACGTCTCCAACTCTCTACTAAATGTGTCCCAACATCTGTCAGATTTCACTTTCAAAATGGCGGCAAAATAAAAACTGAGTTGTCAAACTACGAAATAACAGCTGATGTTAATACAGTGATGGTTAAAAATTCGCCAAGACAGATATGGTTTAATAGTGGAAATTTGCGATCTTCACCTAACATTTCTGTCTTACCACAGCCTTTTTAACAGAATCTGTAGAAGGTGGAGACGTAGGGTTACAACAATAAAATATACTAGAGAATAACAAATTTTAATCAGATGACCTGAACACCAGGCAAGTGTGAACGCTCACAATAATTTTTCAGAATCTGGCTGTAAGTATGCGAAGTTGTAGGTAGCCTCTCTTGCACTTCCCCAAAGACAACAATGTACTATGTAGAATGTAGTAGCACTCTATTTGTTAGTTATTTGTGTATGTATGTATTCAAGTTTTTTTTTTTAAGTTTCTGTATGTACTGCATATATTTACATACATACCTACATTTTTGTCTGCGTGTTACTTTGTGTCAACTTTCAATTATTTATAAATAAAAAACACCGTTTTTCTTCTTTCCGCAGAAAAAACCCGACTGGTCCAAGGGCAAACCCGGCGATGCTAAGGTAAAGGAGGAAGTTGAAGTTGATGCCTAAGTTCGTTCCCGACCTATGTGTGACTCCCGCCCTAATTATAAATTTTATTTAAAGTTTTTTTAATTCAAACAACATCAGAATTACGAATATACTTCATTATTTACAAATATATATTTTTTAAAAAGTAAACATAATTGTTACAAACTAAAAAAAACATATAAATCGCCTTCTCTAAATTTACAACATCAACATTGCAAGCAAGAAGCAAGAATGTACTCGTATAAAAAAAAAGGTTGATTAACACAAAGCAATTAGAAAAACAAGCAACTTTAAAATAAAATTGCACGGATAGTATTGAGTTATAACAACACCAACAACAACAGCAAAACAAGCAAACATAAAACTCAATTTATGAATAAATTTTTTTTTATTGTAATATAAACAAAACAAACATTTTATTAAAAAGAAAAACAACAAAAAATTTAAAACATCAACAAATTTCTTGTTATCCTTTGTTTGTTTAATTTTTCAAACATTCTTTTTGATTACTTTTATGTTTAATACATACAGTGGTCGAACAAATTATAGCCGCACCACACTTTGACAAGTTTTAGCATATTATTTTTTATTTATTTTTTAGTTTTGGTTAATTTTTTTATAAAATATCGTTCATTCTTTAACAAAACTCATGTAAATCCAAGCTTCAAACTTTGTGCAATATAAAAAAAAATCTATTAACTTTCGGAAAAATAAATTGCAAATTTAGAATTGCTGAAAATTAACGTTGATTTTAAAATTTTTTTTTAATGAGTTATGGGTTTCTTCTATATAAAAATAAATTGTGTGTTGATTTTCATTTTTTTTTTTAATATTGCACAAAGCTTGAAATTTGGATTTACAGGGGTTTTCTCAAAGAATGAACTATATTTTTACAAAAAAAAATATCCAAAATTAAATAACAAAAAATACGTTAAAACTTGTCAAAATGTGGCGCGGCTGTAATATTTTCGACCACTGTATGTATGCAAAATTTTGTTTTAATTTTATTTTTTATAATACATATGTATTCCAATTATTTTTTCTTGTAACTTAATCACCTTCGTCCCGCTGTCATACAAAAAAAATGTAAATAATATTGTTAAGTGATTTTTGGCTGACTCCACTGGTTATCGGTATCTCGCTGATTTTTTTTTATACCAGAACAAAAAATATATTTGGTTTGAATTGAGTCCGCAAGGAATGTGTACCACCTGCACGTGTTGCGTTAAGTTTTCCCACGCATACTACATATATATACATGGCTTTGTAAGTTTGGATGTTCATATCTGAATGCCATTCCCAACCTNATCGGTATCTCGCTGATTTTTTTTTATACCAGAACAAAAAATATATTTGGTTTGAATTGAGTCCGCAAGGAATGTGTACCACCTGCACGTGTTGCGTT